TTGATTAAATATACAGGGTGTCCCATTTAGAAAAACCAAGTTTTGGCGGTTCGGTCAATCAAATGCGACAATAAATATGAAACTAAAATAGGTCGAAGACCATTAGATCATTAGAGATACATATAGGGAAGCTTTATAAAAGTCCCCTAAAGTTACGCGTAGAATCCAAATATGCAAAAATATACAGGATGTTCCATTTATAATAAGCAAATAGGTGGCGACTACCGGTATAACCGGAAGTACTACAACAATGGCATTATTTTACTTAAAATAAATAAAACCTCCAAAGCCACCAGGCCCCAAATTTTCAAAATTCAAAAGACCACTAGTTGCTTAATAAAAGTTACTTATTTTCGTGCCCTCTATCACCTTTTCAAGGAACGCACTTATTTCAGAAACAGCCTGTATATAAATGGACAAAACATTTAATGGAAGAATAGACTGGTGTAGAATTTTTATGAAAAGACATCTGTCAATTAAATGTGTCCGAGCTCCAAACTTGTGACCTTAGGGTACAAATATGCTGGAGCGCCGCTCCACGCGCCAAGCGCCGCTTCACGCGACGCTTCAAGATTAACTGATGTATAGTTAAGCGTCAAAGAACGCTACAAACAAGACACAACAAGATTTATTTTATTGTCACAGTTGCAAAGATGTTCTCGGACAGCGAGGATGAAATTATTTTTAATAACGCTGCTTTGCATTTAATACTACAAAGTTATAGAGAATATTCGGTACATCCGACAAACACAAAAAGGAAAAAAATGGACAATATTATAACCTTTTCCTTCAATTAAAAAACCATCCTGCACGATTTTTCGAATATCTCAGAATGGAGATAAATACGTTTAATTATATACTGGAAAAACGATCAACGATTATCTAGAGCCCGAAAAACGATAGAATGTACTTTTGGAATAATATATTCAAAATGGCGAATTCTTTCTAAAGCTATAGAAACGGTCGAAAAGATTGCCAACAAAATTATTAAGGCAATATGTATTTTACATAATGTAATTATTGACAAAGAAGCGTTTCCAAGGCATCTAGCATTAATTGAAGAAGATCAAAACTTGGCACAAAGGGCATATCATATATCATAGCACTTGGCATATCCAATCATGCAAAAGCAATACGAGATACTTTTAAAGATTACGTAAATAACTTTCCAATTAGATATTAATAATTAAACTGATTATTTGTGATTGTCACTTTAATATTTTTATTATCTTTGTAATAGTACTACATAGTAGAAAATAAACAACATAACAATAACAAGTTTCTTTACATTCTTCAGCTACTTCTGCCCACAATTTATCAAGAACATATCTATTCCGATTATCCGAATGTGACTGATTCCAGATGGCCCTTCTATTATACAGGGTGTTGCATCACGAGAGGGACATGGCTTAATGGGAGATAGAGGACATCTAGGGTATCTAGGCCTATAGAAATAACTTCTTTGCAACTAAAATTAGCGAAGGCTTAGTTGAGGGTAGAAGTTATAAATAAGCATGCATATTTTAAACCTCATTTTCTTTAAATAATATGTATTCCAGGTCCGGACTGCAAAATTTTTAATTTTTTTTGTAACTCAAACATCGCACTGTATGTATTTTTTTGGTATTCCCATACGATTATCGAAAAGAACATAAAAAAGTAATCTCAGCGACATGTCTCTTTTTCTTGTTACACTATGATGATTATTTAAAATCGCATGATAAAAACACATGACAAAAAATAAATTATAATCCGTCGATTTCGATTGCCATCGATACGTCGAGCAATTGGAAACTTGGGTAAACGAGTATGAAAATGTATCGAAGTTGAGGAGGCCACTTTGAAAATTTGCTATACAATTAATTTGCCATTGTAAAGTACATTTAGACACCTATTATTTTCTTTGTGTTTTATTGTTATTTGTTTTCCGTGTTTTATTAAATAGTCATTGTTCCCATTTGCTTTTTTATTTCTATTTTTTAGAAATCCTATTTACTAAAAGAAATAAACTACTATTTTGATCATGTATCTTTTACTTACTCATGTAATGTGTTTCTTACTTACTCGTAATTTCATTTTAAAAGCCTTGTTACCGTACATTGAATAGCGTAGTAATCATCAAATTGTAACAAGAAAAAAAGACATGTCGCTGAGATTACTTTTTTATGTTCTTTTCGATAATCGTATGGGAATACCAAAAAAATACATACGGGGCGATGTTTTCTAGAGTTACAAAAAAAATTAAAAATTTTGCAGTCCGGACCTGGAATACATATTATTTAAAGAAAATGAGGTTTAAAATATGCATGCTTATTTATAACATCTACCCTCAATTAAGCCTTCGCTAATTTTAGTTGCAAAACCATTTTTATCATGTGTCCTTCACATAATTTAGTTTTAGAAGCCGTAGTCTCGTATATTCAATAGCTTATTTAAATAACCACCAAAGTGTAAAAAAAAAGAAACTTGTCTTTAAAATCACTTTTTTATGCTCTTTCCGAATATCGTATGGGAATTTCAAAAAAATACATACAGAGTGTTGTTTTCTAGACTTGCACAAAAAATTTACAATTTTTGCAGTCCGGACCTGGATTTTTTTGCTGTCATACATGCATACATGAAGTATCGTGAGTGCATTAACCCTACCAAATATGAACCCATTATTCCATTCCCTACCAAAGTTATGACATAAAGCAGTTTTGACCAAAAATCATAAATCACCCTGTATCTCAATAAAGAATGGCCAAGAAGTTATTTCTATAGGCGATCCTAGTTACACTAGATGTCCTCTATCTCCCATCAAGCCATGTCCCTCTCGTGATGCAACACCCTGTATACAGAATTAATTATTTGTTCTGTGTCCATCGTAAAATCGACCTGTGCACAATGGACGCAACTCAAGACTGACGCGCTTCAACAGCTTCAAAGAAATCGTGAAAATAAATCGTGAAGTATCGCTCCCTATGTAGTTCGCTACATCGCGACGCTTAAATCCTCACTATGTGCGGGTCCATTGAAATACATTATACTTTTCTAGTGAAGCGGCGCTTGGCGCGTGGAGCGGCGCTCCAGCATATTTGTAGCCTTAGGCATCTTACTACAACATTTTCATAAATTCATTTATTATTTATTATAACTGATTACAAGTTCCATTAAATCTTATTTATATTCTATTTTATCTAAATATATAAATCGCTAATAGCAAAAAAACTAAAAATTAAATATTTTAGAGAAAACTACTTATATTTATTTGCCTGTTACAATTACTTATTTCGAGATTAAAGTCATTTGTACCAGCAATCAATTTTTTTTAAATTCTTCATAAATTTTTTGGGGTAACTTGTAATTAAAAATATGTATATATAAAAGAAGCGACAGTTAAGTATTATACAGGGTGATTCACAAATGGTGACCAAAAATGAAACCTCGTATTCTTTGGGGAGTATTTGCTATAATTTCCTATAGTTTTTATCTAGGACGTTTCGTTAAAAAGATACAGGGGATACAGGGGGGAACTTCAAAAAATATTTTTTATTTTTTTAAATAATTTAAAAACTAGTAAGTGAAATAATTTGAAATTGAGCACATGTTTTTATGTAAACATTGTCCAAAATTTGAGGGCTTGTCCTAAAATTGGCATATTTTTCTAAATAAAATAGTACGCCACTGCTTTACGGTAACAACTATGATAGTTTCGGATTCGCCTTTCAATTTCGTACAAATTACTACCCTCTTATGTTCTTCGAAAAAAGCGAGTAAAACTTAAAAAACGAACTGAGAATACACTCCGATATTCGAATATAATGCTTTTTAAAATTACATAGTGGGCTGCGATAGTAACTTTGACATTCTGGGAAGTTACAAGAAAGAATGAATAATGCTTTTCATCAGATTAAAGCAACAATAAATTTCGAACAAATTACATTTTCGTTATTAAAAAGATGTCGGATCTGTGTTCGTGGAAATGAAGCTATTTTTGAGCATTTATCATTATGACTAATGTTATTAATTTCTTTAATCGAATAAATAACCGAATGATTAGTGCTTGTCATATCATTTATGTAAAAGTGTTGTCAGTTGGTTTTTTAAGTTGTACTCGAAAATGCTTTTTTCGAAAAACATAAGAGGGTAGTAATTTGTAGAAAACTGAAAGATGAATCCGAAAATATCATACCGTAAAGTGGCGTACTATTTTACTTATAAAAATATGCCACCGATACCCTATATCTCCACCACTGGAGCATGTAAATTTTAGGAAAAGCTCTCAGATTTTGAACAATGTTTACATAAACACATGTGCCCAATTTCAAATTATTTCTCTTACTAGTTTTTTAAATTACTTAAAAAAATTACAATTATTTTTTGAAGTTTAACGAAGCATCCTAGATAAAAACTTTATAGGAAAGATTCCCCTTAAAATTCACCAAATAATACGAGGTTTAATTTTTGGTCCCCATTTATGAATCACCCTCTATAATTAACCCCTGTCTCCCCTACTTGTTAAATCTTATCTTGAATACAATACAATATTAACAATGTAACTTTAAATTAACATAAATAATGTTTTAAATAAAATAAGTAAAATTAGTAATTGGTTTCATTACACAATATACAATTCATACCTATACAATTTTCCTAAAGGCTTTGTGCCCTAAAACTTTATTTTTTATATTTTTTCTATTCCAAAGCTAAAGCAATATTACAGTTTTTGGCATACCATTTCAATTTTCTCCTTAATAATCATTATTTGCAAAATATTACAAAGGACCAACCCTTAAATAATTGTTATTACAAAACCCAAACATTAATGATAGGAATCGCAAAATAATGTTGCATGAAATCACTGCAATGAATTGTATGAATGAATGAGTAGAACAGGTCTTATTTGCATTCATTAATTATCTCAGGTGATTCTCTTTTATATAAATCATCTGTTCGTCGCATAGAAATAGATAATAAAATCAGTAAAAATATAGTTTAACAAAATATGTCGATTTTAGGCAGCATTGGGATATCCAAAAGATAATAATCAAACCGACCTAGAGTGGAGGTGTGGTGCAAGTATTATATCACACAAGTTTTTGCTTACTGCTGCTCACTGTATTAGAGATAAAAGTCAAATAAGTCCAACTATAGCTCGACTGGGAATTACTAAATTAGACGAAAAAAATGCACAGGATTTATCTATAAAGAAGACAATAATGCATCCAGAGTTTGATGCAAAAAGGGTGCACAATGACATAGCGCTAATAGAAGTCAATGAAGGAATTGCTTTTCAGGGCAAAACATTTCCGGCCTGTTTACATTTCGATTATGAAGTGCCATCGATATTAACTGCAACCGGATGGGGAACCAACGGCAGTATGTATTTTTTATAATTTTAAATAACAATAATAATAATTGCTGTAACAAAAGAGTGTTATTAACACCGAACTGGAANAATTTTATTTCTTCTAAGATAAAATATAAAGGGTCTAGCCGGATAAGCAAGGTGATATAGCCCCCATAACTAACGTGTATTTGATTTAGCATGCAATGAAAACATCATACATACCGCTTTTAGCACCCGTTCTCAAACTACTTTTGAGAAACGTGCAAAGGTTATTATTTTTCAAATTAATTTTTCTCAAAAAAATAGGTAAAAAATATAGAACTAATGCGGATATTTGAGGAATATTTCAGACAATATTATAGATTTTTTTCAAATTTTTACATGATTTGTGATGGTCTAAAAAAATGGAAAATAATTTTGATATTTTTTTTTTTAGTTACACATTACATATACATTACCTACCCATTTACCTACTGCATATGTGATATCTAAAAGTCAAAATAAACATATCAATATGTGTTATAAATTAAGTAATATATATTTATAGCTACCGTGTGTGGTGTGTGGCGGTTTTCACTTGTCTACTATTGTTTTCTATATCGCGCAAACATGTTTTAACCTGTTTTTAAGTATTCAAATAAAGTATTCAGTGTCACATATCATTCGTTTTTATGCTGTTGTACTAATAAAATCTCCGTTAACTATTAATTTTTTTTTTAATTGATTAAAAATTTATTGTTTGTAGAATGTAAAAATTGTAATAAGTTTATTCACAAAGTTCCTGACAAAAAAATCAAATCCGAAGAAGCAAGATTATATAGTATTTATACCGGAAAAAACGATTTTAATTGATTATATTTTGTGTGCAAAGTGCTTATAGTTACTTATATTATACTGGTTACTTCCATATTACACAGCGTTGCCAGATTTTTTTTCGGGCAAAGCGGGATTTTGAAACTTTTTGAATAAAAAAGCGGTATTCTTTCGCCCAAAAACGGGACATACTATGGGTTTGTATGATTGATGCCTAAAAAAAAGATCAGGATATCTGGGAAACAAATTGTCTATCTAAAAAATATTTATTTAATAACTGGCGGAAAAAGCGGAACTAAGCGTGTCCCACGCAGGACATTTAATTTATTTTCGGTTAAAAAGCGGGCCGTCCCGCCAAAATCGGGACGTCTGGCAACGCTGAATTACACCACAATTTCAACCTCAGTGGTTTCAACTTCAGCAGCTTCAGTCTCAGCAGCTTTAGTCTCGACAGTTTCAACCTCAGCAGTACTTTATTTGAATACGTAAAAACATGTTAAAACGTATTTATTGTTTGCAAGGGAATACAGTAGTAGACAAGTGAAGCCCGTCACACACCCATACCACACACGATAGCTGTAAATATATATAGGGTGTACCGAAATTAATGCAACAAAATTTGGTCATAGATTCTTAAAACAAATTTAGAAGACCTGTTGTGCAAAACCGTACTTATCTTATCAACTTCGACGTCACCTGTTACATGGATGTTGCACAATAATGAAAAAGTAATATTAACGGTCGGTAGAAGGAAGCGCAAAAAAGAAAACGCCTAGGTGGGGCAATTCTGGAAAGAAGCCTAGTAAGTTGAAGATAGGCAGTTGAAGTGAGAACAGCGCGGAGTGAAAAGTAAAACGATCAGTGTAGTGTGAAAAATATAGAAGTAGTGAAAAATTAAGTGTTTAACCGTTATTAGTTAGCAGGTAATAATCTTTAAGTACTTTGTTGTTAATTGTTCTATGTAACCTTATGATTGTGATGATTACAGATGTTTAATGATAATAATTCTTTGTATGTTTAGCTTTCTTTGTTTTATGTTCAGTGGCGTATATTTTTCTAAGGTAAAATTGTTACAATTATTATTAAAGATTATTCATTATTTATTACATGTTAAAATATGTATATTTTGTCGTGACTGCCCAGATATTGCAATAGCAACTTCTTTGTTACACTTTTAACTTGTTTTATCACGATTGCGTTGTTCTTTGATTTCTTGTTCTCACTTTATGTCATACGCATATAAGAGCTATGTTGAATTTACTAACAATTTCGCCCTTGATTATTATTATTGTTGTTGTTCTCCGAAATCTCAACTCATAGCTGGATTGCCTCCCGTATGAGACTCCAGTACCTTACCTATTTATTATTATTGTTGTTGTTATTATTATTGTTGTTATTATTGTTGTTGTTCTTCCGAAATCTCAACTATAGCTGGATTGCCTTCCGTATGGGACTCCAGTACCTTACCTATTTATTATTATTATTGTTGTTATTATTACCTTCCGGCCCTGCCGGCTAACTAACACCAAACCTCTTCAGTTTTACTTGGAAGTGTGAATGTCTAATATGAGTGAGATGACATTTAGTGACGCATTAAATGGGACAAGTCTTAATTATCATTAGCAAAGGTTCTTAATTTATGCCTTTTTGTTAGCGCTTGTTTTGCATTCATATTTGGGTGGTAAGAGCAACGATCGTGGGTTTCTCTGCCATGCTCTTTCCCAGCAGGAGCTCTAGGTGAGCTTGGCACTCTCATTCTATTGTTAAATGGATGTTAATGTTTTTGTTGTTCTTTCTATTTGTCACATGTTTAATTTGAAGACTGTTGTACATAAATAATAAAGTTAGGTGTATTTACTCTGTTTTTGTTTTATAAAATTAAACCATACATCCCCTCAAAAAGTAAGTAGCCAGCGCCTTCCGGTCAATTAAACAAAAAATTGATACATACAACGTAGGGATTCCTTATGACGATCACATATTTTTGGCCACAACTACGTTTATATTTGTTTTTTTTTTCGATCGAACCTAGGGTTGTTATACTACACTGTATTTTTTCTCTTTGCCAAGTGGCCCCCTCTTTCGGAGTTACAGCCCCCTGAAATCCGCCCCTAAGAATAATCTTTTTTTATATTTCGGAACCCTGTTGCACGAGAATCACTAAATTTGGTACACAGGGTTTTATGACATACGAGGTCTGATAGTGCTACGCTTTTTGGCGAGAAACCCCTTAAGACACTTTTTCGTGGGCCCCCTTGTCTTTGGAACCAAAAAAATTTTGTCGCAAATTTGAATTTTTTAAAAATTATTAGTTAGCTAGAAAGCCATTGAATTTAGAAACTTTTTTCGTATAACGCAATGTTTCGAGAAAAATGCCAAAATGTGATCGAATACATATCGTGATTCGCCATTTTCCTCAAAAACATTGGTACTACGAAAAAAATACCTATCTAAGGACAAAAAAGTTTTTAAATTCAATGGATTTCTAACTAAATAATAATTTTTTAAAAATTCAAATTTTCGACTAAATTTTTCTGGTTCCAAAAACAAGGGGGCCCACGAAAAAATGTCTTAAGGAGTTTTTTCGCCAAAAAGTGCAGCACTGTGAGATTCCACATGTCATAAAACCCCTTTGTACCAAATTTAGTGACTTTCGTACAACAGGTTCTGAGATATAATAAATACTTCTTAAGGGCAGATTTCAGGGGGCTGTAACTCCGAAAGAGGGGGTCACTAGGCAAAAAGAAAAAATACGGGTCCTCTAAAGTCTTAGAAATATATGACCAAATTTTGTTGCATTAATTTCGGAACACCCTAAATGAAGTTGATGATGGTCCTGGAGATACGAAACGTTACATATAAAAATTTATTATGCTCTTCGATAGAGGGTAAAAAGTTGCCATGAGAAAGTGTTCTTCCTTTTTGAATATCACCTCAAACGTGGCTGAAATGAAACAATAACAAATTTCCAAAATTTCGTTTTTTTTTCGAATATTTCGAAAACTAATCATGTTAGCCTTGATTTTTTAGAAGCATAATGTTGGTTCCTTTATTACACAACTTGGCCCCCATTTAAGCTCCTTCGTATCTCCTACTGTTTCCGAGATCCCTGTAGTGAGAAACGAAATTATAACAGCATGTATATTAATGTATAACACATGATGTATATTTTGACATTATCTTATGTATATGTTTCCTTATACTCCAGTTGAATTAGAGTTTGAACCTGAAAAAATTATTAATAGACATTTTATTGCACTTTATGATGGGAAAGGGTATGATAAAATCAAAAAAGTAACTCGAAAGAAGTGACGCTAATTGAGGGATTGCAATCCGGAAAAACGGATCCGGTAATCCGGCGGATCCGACATCAATAAACGTTTATTTCATACTGTTCGGTATATTGCATTTCCCGGATTCATTTGCGGCCGGTAAGTGAGCTATTACAGTATCAGAGCCGGTAAATTCATTTGCGGCCGGTAAGTGAGTTATTGCAGTATCAGAGCCGGTAAATGTTGCCTAGCAACGTGATATTAGACATGTCACAAACAATATTATAAAATGACAGATCAAGCGATGTCAAACAAAAATTTGATAATTTTAAGGAAAAAATAGAAATTTCTGCTCGTTAAAAATAGAAAGACAGTATGAAATAAAATATCATACGATACACGGCCGTTAGGTGTTATTACAGTACTCGTTTTTATTCCGGACTCGGCTCCTACGTCGCCTCGTCCGTAAAACAACTCGTAATGTAATAAGTCACCTACCGGACTTGTAACGTAAAATACTATTACCGGATCCGGTACCAATATACCGGATCCGGCGACCGGCCACGTGTCGGCATACATACTAAAAATGAGAAAGATTTTGATAAAGTACTAAAAAAGGAAATGACTACATTTGAAAGTGACGGAGTTCGAGGAGAATACTTGTCTGCTATTCATGATTATTTGCTGACAATAAA